GGGCCCAGGAAAGATGCTGGTCTTGGGCAGCTGGTGGCTGTGCCACCCAGATATGTAAAGGAAGATGGGGGCAGGAAATGGCCCCAAGGTTTTCTGGGGACTACACTGAGGGGCTGGGTTGGTCTGGATGCAAAGGATCAGGAAGAGGAAAGGTCAGCCCAGGCATCCAGGAAAGAGGCTGGTGGGTGGTGCAGGCTCAGGGAAGTAGAGGGAGGTGAGGGTGGGGCCAGGTCCAGAGTGCTCCTGGGGACCCCAGAAGGAACTGAGTTGGTCTGGATGCAAAGGATCAGGAAGCAGTGGTGGTTCTCCTGGTGCTTGGGGCACCAAGACAAAGAATGGGACAGGACCCAGGCTAGGAGGAGAGACCGACAGGGGAGATGAGTGGGTGAATGAGGCTGGGGGAGTCGAGGTGAGGAGGGTGCAATCTATATACCCAGGAGAGAGAAGCCTGTGGGTTGGAGAGAGGCCTGTGGGTTGTCCAGGCCCAGGGAAGCACAGGTTGGGTATTCTTTTTAAATTTTTGTTACTTTATTTATTTGTGTATGTACATGTGTATGCACACATGTACCATGATGTATGTGGAGGTTACAGGACAATTTGAGGGTTCTCTCCTTCCACCATGTGAATCCCAGGTACTGAACCCAAGTTGTTAGGCCTGGTAGCAGGTACTCTTACATCCTGTGCCATCTCACCAGCCCAATGCGAATTCTTAGTGGTGTAGATTTTTTTTTTTTAATGGTATGTGTTTTTTAAAATTATGTTTATTTTTATTTTTTGTAAGCATGAATGTATTGCCTGGATGTATGTAAATGCACCCATGTAGTGCTGGGCCCACAGAGGTCAGAAGAGGGCATGGATCCCCTGGAACTGGAGTTACAGGTGGTTGTTAGCCACCTTGTGTGTGCTGGGAATCAAACCTAGATCCTCTGCAAGAGCAGCCAGTGCTCTTAACCACTGGGCTGTCTCCCCAACCCCTGCACGTGGTTCTTAAAAGCTAGTTTTGAGGCTGGGGATGTGACTTAGGTGATAGAATGCTTGCCTAATGTGCATGAAGCCCTGGGTTTGAGCCAAATAAACTGAGCCGAGTGATGCACACCGGTGATCCTGACACTCTGGAGGTAGAAGCAGGAGGATCAGGAGTTCATGGTCATCTTCCACTACTTAGTGAGTTGGAGATCAACCTGGACTACATGAGACCCTGTCTCAAAAAAAGAAGGAAGGAAGGACCAGCCTGAGTTACATGAGACTGTCTCAAATGAATGAATGAATGAATGAATGAATGAATGAATGAGTTTGGGCTTTGTGCCATAAAATTTAAGTGCATTTCCTGCCCGGCTGGCTTGTCCTGTCAGTGACTAACTGGCTTTTCCTCCCTGTTCTTTTCTCCCTTCCTCCTCACTTCCAGGTGTTCTTTGACCTAATGAGGGAAATCCGAGCAAAGAAGATGTCAGAAAACAAAGACAAGAGCGGGAAGAAAAGCAGCAAGAGCAAGAAGAGTTTTAAAGAGCGGTGTTGCTTGCTCTGAAAGGCAGCAGTGAGGAGGAGGACACAGGGCTGGCCAGGCAGGAGGCTGGAGGCAGGCTGAGGTGCTTCTGTCTAGGCTCCTGCTGTCCCCAGCCTTATTCTTTTGCACTTCTTTAAATGGAGACAGATATTTGTGACTCAGTGGCTGACTGAAGAAAGACACCCTTGTCTATGCAATGGATCTGTTTTTAACTTTTCAGGAGCTTTGAGAGTCTCTTCCGTCCCTCCCTCTTTCCTTCCCTCCCTCCATTTCTCCCTTCCTTCCGCCCTCCCAGCAGACAGCCTAACTCTAGTTGTGTAGTGCAGGAGGTAGGAAACAGCTATGTAGTGATTACAAAGAAAGAGTATTGTCACTGCATCCTGTTCCCCCTAGTTTTAGAGCATGTCTCCCATCTTCTGTTTAGAAATTAAAATGCCTCATTTTATCGGGGCGTGGTGGTACACACCTGTAATCCCAACACTTGGGAGGCTGAGGTAGGAGGATAGCCTTGAGTTCAAGGCCAGTCTAGGCTACCTAGCAAGACCTTCTGAAAGAAAAAGTAAATGTCTTGTTTTAGTAGGTTTTAGAGGGCCTGGGGTAATCCCCCCTCTCAACCCTTATCAGCTTAGAAGTCACAGAAAAATCCATTAAGCTCTAATAACACTGAAAAAAGTGTGTGTGGGGTGGATCTTTCCTTCTTTCTTTTTTTAAAGATAAACTTCTGTGACTTTTGAGGTATAATTAGGAAAATGAACTTGAGTTGGGCCCAGATAGACCCATCTGAAGCTCTCTCATGTCTGAAAAGTGAAAGTTGGGAGTTCCCTTTAGAGTTAAGCAGTGGCCTGCTGCAGTGGGCTTTTCCTCCTTGGCATCCTTTGCTGAGCGGACTTTCTTTTGGGAAGGCTGCCTGTTCTTTGTAGGCAGCATACTCTTCTCATGTCCTCTATCAAGGTCCCCTCCCATGCCAGCCACACTGCTGGGCCCTCTCCACTCTGCCAGCACAGGTTCAACACACCTCTTCTTTTTTTCATTCTTCTGAAGAATGTCACAAGTTCAAATTGTGCCCCAGAATCATGAAGCCAGAGCCAGTGCAGGCCTGTCTGCTACCTCCCCTAGAATCGCTTGGTGACTCTCAATTTCATTAGAAGTGGAGAAAGATGAGGGAGGCCATAGCCTGTCACCTAATGCGGCTGCTAGTTCTGATGTGACTGCCTGGAGAGCCTGCACTCACTCTCCCTCTGGCCCTGCAAAGCTTCGTCATCAGGAAGGGGACACACAGACAGAAGCTGGCCACTGAGCACATTCCCCCCATTTTTTAGAAGTGAATATTTCATGTTTAGGTGCCAAATGTGAATCTGGGTGGGGAGAGCGGGAGCCCTTGGAGTGGAGTGTTTTTATGGAGATTGTGGGAATTAGGTTCAGACTCCTGGAAACTGATCTTGTATAACCTCCAAAGAATCAAGGGGCTTTTTCGAATAAAAAACAAACAAACAAAAAAAATCAAAATGAACTTTTCAGGATGTTACCCTCTTTATTTTATGCTCTTGTACACATGAAGCGTGCATAGAAAGGCACGAAAAGTTTACTGTTCTTAGCAGGTGCTCTGCAGTGCAGACAAGCCTTAATTCAATGAATCTCGTGGGTTAGGAAACACAACTATAAACATAAGCAATAATTGTAACTTCATCACTCCTTTGGGAGAGATTACAATTCTCCTTAAAATGTAAAATGTTGAAGATAATTACATTCTCTGCAGTGCTAGCAAAAAACCCTATGATGAAATAATCCATCCTGAGTTCACTGATGTAAAAATATGTTTGGGGAGATGGCCCAGTAGGTAAGAGCACTTGCTGCACAAGCATGAGGACCTGAGTTTGGATCCCAGAGCACATGTAAAAAGCCAGCTGTGGCTGTGTGCATGCCAGTTACCACAGTGCCACAGGAATAGGGACAGGAAGCTTTCTGAGGCTTGTTGGCTGCCAGCCTAGCGCTGGGTTCAGTGAGAGACACCGTCTCAAGAGATTAAGGCAGGACACCAACTTCTTTCCCCATCCTTGACACATGAGAACATAGGTACACACACATGCACATATACCACACATATACCACACACACACACATGCACATACAATATAAAATGCTGAAGATAATTACTGCCAATTAAATGAATCCATCTTGATTTTGCTGGTATGGAAATGTGTGTTTATTCAATTAGATGAATTGCGGTATATAAATTTATTTTATTTATTTTATGTGGGATGATGTGAATGCCATAGTGCACATGTGGAGGTTGGAGGACAACTTTGTGGAGTTGGTTCTTCTTCCTCTACACTGATTCCAGGGATCCAACTCAGGCAATCAGCTGCATGGCAAGCACCTTTATATACCAAACCATCTTGTTGGTCTACTATATAATTTAAATGAAAGACTGGCAAGATGGCTCATCAGGTAAAGGCACTTGCTTCCAAATGCGATGACCCGAGTTTGATCCCTGGGATCCACGTGGTGGAAGGCGAGAACTGACTCTTGAAAGTTGTCCTCTGACTGCCACACATGCATGCATGCGTTCATACAAATACACTAAGTAAATATTAAAAATCTTTTTAATGAATAGATTTAAATGAATTGGCAGTAGCTGGAATATAAAATTCCCTTTGATTAATTTAGAAGTACATTCTAATAAAACACTGTAGCAGCTTAACAGTGTGTAACTATTAATACTGGGCCTGTGAGATGTCTCAGGGTGAAACTACTTGCTTGGAAAGCCTGACAACCTGAGTTTGATCCCCAGAACCCATGATAGAAGGAGAGAACCGACCTCAAAAGTGGTCCTCTGATGTACATACCAGCACATACACATCGTGCACACACACAATAATAAAGATTAACAGTACAAGGTACTAATTGTTAGTCATTGTAAAACTGACTTTGTTTTTAAATTTTTTAATTACATTTTTAATTTCTTTATTGTATGTTGACCCTGTCTGTTCTGCCCAACACCCTCCCAGTGCTGTGCATGGTACAGGTATGGGCTCTGGTGTCATATGTGCCTCTGAATTCTGGCTCTGCTCCCTGTGACCTGCACATATCTAGAAAGAGGAACTGGGAAAATCCATGTCCATCTAAACAAACTCCCCTCTGGGCAGACACCACCCTCTTCCTATGCCCACCTCTTAGGTCACAACTCTTGTCTTTTGAGGAGTCCCTGCTCTGACATCATCTCCTTCCTGAGAACTCTGTTGTTCCTCCTCCATCTCTGCTTTCATTGTTGCTCTGATGTCTATCTACCCTGTGTGTCTGTGGCTCCTGACTACTTCTTCCATGGGGCTGCCTTTGAAGGGGACACTGAGACCACAGCTTCTTTGATACAGAAATGATACACTGGGACTTGGGAGATGGCTCAGTCAGTAAAGAACCTGCTATGCAAGCATGAGGACCAGAGTTCAACTCCCAAAATTCACATAAACAAGCTGGGTTCGGTGGTGCAAGCTTGTAATCCCAGAGCTGGGGTGGAGAGACAAGTGGCTCTCTGCAGCTTACTGGCCAATCAGGCTAGCCTACTTGGTGAGCCCCAGACCTGTTTCAAAAACAAGGTGGCAACAGGGCACACGTGGCACATGCCTTTAATCCCAGCACTCAGGAGGCAGAGGCAGGTCGGATCTGTAAGATGAAGGCCAGTTTGGTCTACGTCGTGAGTTCCAGATCAGCTGGGCTACAGGGAGATCCTGTCTCAAAACAAAGACAAAAAAAACCAATCAAACAAACAACAATAAAATTTAAAAAACCAAGGTAGGTGGCTACTTAGGAACACCACCTGAGGTTGACCTCTGGGTCCCACGTACATGTGCACACACGTGCACATGCACCCAAACACACATGGACATGCGCATACACACATACACCAAGAAGAACAGCACTTATTCTATGTCCCAGCTGTCTTGTTTTCTATATTTCTTGTTTTATGAGTTGCGAGATCTTTGTATTTCAGAGACTAGTCAGCTATGACTGACAGCTTTATTTTAAATATTTTATTTGTTATTTTGATTTTATGTGTATGAGTGTATTGCCTGGATGTATGTGAGTGCACCCATGTCGTGCAATGCCGTGGAGGTCAGAAGAGGGCTTCGGATTCCCCTGGAACTGGAGTTAAGGACAATTCGTAGCCACCATGTGGGTGCTGGAAACTGAAGCTGGGTCCTCTACAAGAGCAGTCAGTGCTCTTAACCACTGAGCCATCTCTCCAGCCCAGCTAAATTGTATTTTGTTGTTTTGTGTATGCATGTGCCCATGTGTGGAAGTCACAGGACAACTTGTGGGAGTCAGTTCTCTCCTTCCACCATGTGGGTCTCAGGGATGGAACTCAGGGTGTCAGGCTTGGCAGTAAGTGCCTTTACCTGCTAAGCAATACCACCAGCCCTGTCTGACAGGTTTAAAAGGTAAAATTTGAGGCCAGAGAGATGGATGTTGATTAAGAGTGCACACTGCTTTCGCGGAGTACCTGAGTTTAGTTCCTAGCATCCACCTCAGGTATCTTCCAGTTGTGTGTATCTCCAACTCCAGGGGATCCAACATCCTCTTCTGGCCTCCATGGGCACTCACTCTCACGTGCACATATGTGGACATAGATACATATGCATACATAGTTAAAAATAAAAATTAAAAAAAATTTGGCAGGGTTTCCCTATAGCCCCAGTTGGCCTGGAACTCACTTTATAGGGCAGGCTGATCTCAGTCTTACTGAGATCCACCTGCCTCTGTCTCTTGAATACTGGGATTAATGGTGTGTGCCACCATGCCCAGCTAAAATATTCATTATTTTTTTTGTTTGTGTAGGTGTGTGTATATGTGGTGTATGTACATGTATGTGCAGAGGCCAGAAGAGGATGTTGAGTGTCCTGCTCTGTGACTCTTTACCTTATTCTCTTGAGGCAGGGTGTCTCATTGAAGGAGGAGCTAGGCCAGTACCCAGCAAGCCCCAGAGATCCTCCTGTCTCTGTCCCTCACAGCACTGGGATAACAGGCTTGTATGTGGCCACATCCAGTTTTTTAAGTGAGTGCTGGGATCCAAACTTGGGCCCTCATCCTTGTGTAGCAAGTGCCCTTAACCACCAGGCCATCTCTCCAGTCAAAAGGTGAAATTTCTTTTCAAGTGCTATCTTGAAATCAATGGGAAAATAGACTTATTTCACCATAAGAATCCACCAGCAGAGGGCAACACACTCAAAGTTGGGGAGACAACCAGCAGAGGGACCCACACACAAAGTGTGCAAGTAAAGTTATCAGGTAAACTTCATGAATTATCTCCAGACCTGGCATGCCTGCTTCTTGTCTATGTGGATCACAATGTAGACTTTGGAAGTGTGGAATCCAGAGAGTGGGCTCCCTCTGCAGCCTATGACTGTGAGAAGATGCAGAGAATCTACCCTAAGGCTCAACATTTGTTGGGACCAGGATCTAACTTGGGCTCTATCTGCGGCAGACAGCTCGGCTGGGAGATACCTACCAGACAGGTAAATATCTCCTACCATAATGCAAGGAGAACCTTGAATTCCCTTTGTTGCTGAAGATCGTTCTGCTTCCACTTCCTGAGTTCTGGATGTTGGCCTACAAACCTGGTTTATGTGATGCTGATAATTGCACTCAGGGTATCATGTGTCTTAGGCAAGCACTCTACTAACTGAGCTATGGCTCCAACTTCTATTTTCCCTCAGAAAGAATAAGTGCCATGCTCCTTCTGTAAGGAAAACAAACCAGGGACTGATAAACACTTAATGTGCCACTGGTAGGATCCATTGAGGTTTTTATCTAGAGAGGGATCCTGCTGGTGTGAACACATTCTTGAATGGAGCCCGGAGTTTAAATATTTTTTTTTCAAAGCCTTACTGCAAAGTAATAATGCTTTTGCTGGTGGTAGAGAGTGGAAAGATATATAAGTAATTTAAAAATATACAGTCAGGAACTGACAAGGTGGCTTAGTAGGTAAAGGCCCTTGCTACCAAGCCTGAGAATCTAAGTTACTTCCCTAGAACCCACATGGTAGAAGAAGAGAACTGACTCCTGCAAGTTATCTTCTGACTTCCACATATGCACTGTGGCATGTATGGGTATGTACACACACACACACACACACACACACACACTACATTAAAAATACATGTATACTAACAGGCACAGTGGTACACAACTAGTACTCATGAGGCTGAAGCAGAAAGATTATGAGATCAAGGCCAGCCTGGGCTACATAAAAGCATTTTGTCCCAAAACAATATATTCACTGTGATTCATCCAATGTCTTCGCTTAAGTTATTTGCAAAGTTCATGAGGGCTTTTCAACTGAAAATTTCATAGACTTTAAACAATTCATAGAATATATTTTATTCACTGCTATACTATATGAATCTATTGCCAATAATAAAGGAATCTATCTTAAATATTTTAAAGTTTTTATTTTAATTATTTTTATTTTATGTGTATTCATGTATTGCCTGTATGTAGGTAAGTACACTCATG